AACCTCAGGCTGTGCGCAGGTTAGTAGGGGAGGACTTCTCTGAAATATTATCTTGAAAAGAAAAAAAAAGTTATTTATAAAATCTGAAAATCAATCCTAAAACAAATCTGTGATCAGGGATGGTAAACTGGTGACTTGTGATCTCTTCTGGTTTAAAGATCAGAAGTTTCTTACCTTGAAGAAATCACAGCAAAAGTTAGCACCATTGCTGAGCTTTTCCACCTTATGAATGAAGATGTCTCTAAAACATGGATTCAGACTTCCAGGGTTTCATATGTGACAAACCAAAGGAACCGATCCTACTCGCCGGGTGGGACTTTCCATATTACTGCTCTTCTTCAGAACTGGTTTCCAAGTTGGACATGTACATCTGAATTACCCCAATATTACATCTTGCTGTAAAATAGTTTTACAGCGTTTGAGCAGAGTCGTGAGTGAGCTGGGGTGCTCAAGCTGCAGCAAGTAGAAGAGAGGTGGATGGAGAAAGAAACAGGGGCTTCACAGATCCCCAAATTCTAAAGGGAGAAGCAGTGTAGAGTTTCATGTACTCATTTTATGGCGTGGCAGGTGTATTTTCATTTAAAATATATACAGTATGTCACAAAAGTTCTGAGTGGAACCTGTCCTGTTAAACCGCTGTATGGTCTTGGTCACTGTGCTGCAGTTTCAGGGGAGAGAAAATGGCTCATTGGGCCCAATTTTGACATTTTCACTGAGGGGTGTACTCACTTTTGTTGCCAGCGGTTTGGACATTAATGGCTGTGTGTTGAGTTATTTTGAGGGGACAGTAAATTTACACGGTTATACAAGCTGTACACTGACTTCTATACATTGTAGCAAAGTGTCATTTCTTCAGTGTTGTCCCATGAAAAAATATAATAAAATATTTGCAGAAATGTGACATACTGTGTGTGTGTGTGTGTGTGTGTGTGTGTGTGTGTGTGTGTGTGTGTGTGTGTATATATAAAATCTGAGCATGTAACTTTGATACACAGAAATTGTTTTTTAGAAGAGGGACCTTGTAAGTCTAGCAACCAAATGATTTCCTAGTTGGAGCTTATTAAGGGTATTCTGATTCTGATATACCCATTTAATGACTTTTGCAACAGTTCAGATGTAATTAGACAAATACATAGACAAAAAAAAAGTTAAAAGTATAGTACAGAACTGGACAAGTTTGCTGATCTGATTTCAAAAAAAAAAAAAATTAAAGATCCAAAGAAAAGAAGCTGGGCTGCAAGGTGGAGCAGTAGTTAGCACCGTTGCCTCGCAGCAAGAAGGTCGTTGGTTCGTGTCCTGGTGAGGACACCCGGGATATTTCTGTTCTCCCCGTGCAGTGTGGGTTCTCTCTGGGTTCTCCAGCTTCCTCCCACACAGTCCAAAAACATGTTGAGGTTAATTGGTGATTCTAAATTGTCTGTAGGTGTGAATGTGAGTGTGCTTGGTTGTCTGTCTCTAAGTGTAGCCCTGTGATAGACTGGTGACCTGTCCAGGGTGTCCCCTGCCTTCACCCTAAGTCAACTGGGATCGACTCCAGCCCCCCACAACCCCAGTGAGGATTAAGCGGTGTATAGATAACAGATGGATGGATAAAAGAAGCTTCAGTTCTCTACAAGTCCACACATGCAAATCTGACAAATTATTGAACACCAATAGACCGGAATGAAGCTCTACTAATCGGTTTTAATGAGCATCCTAATGGGGGACATCTACGGCTCTGGTGACAGCGTTACTGCCAGTTAACCATTAGGACATGCGACACTCACAGAGGAAGCCTGAGAGCACTTAGTCTGTTTTTTTTTTTTCTTTTTTTCAAACGAGGGAGATGTTGCAGTGTTGCATCATGCGTGTGCTGAACCCGGGCTTCTTTTTGCCTGTGATGATATCATCTCCCTTTATTCTCTCTCACAAGACTCTGTATCAGCATATACTGAAGAGAGGGGGAATTTCTCATTTATTTAAGTCTTTACTGAAATAACCTCATGCAACCTCATGCAAAAGACATTAGAGCTCAAGGAAAAGCCTGCAATGGCACTTTATGTAACACATTTGAGCCTTTCAACTGTGTTTCTTCGTTCCAGTCAGAAACACCGCAGCACACTCTGCCTTAATCATTTACAGTAACGTGGGACGGATGCAGTTTGCTTCGATATTCTTTCTCAGGGTTGCAGGGAGGTGCAGGATACAAAGAACAGAAAGAAACTAAAACTATAGCCGAGAATAAATTGCTAATCTTTGAAATGACAATATAATCAGAACTGGCCTTATAGACGAAGCATGTCTCACTCCAGTTTCCAGTGTTCCTACTGTCAGACAAAGGAAAGTACACAAAGATGTGCAGCTAAAACTAAGACAACAAAGATAAGCAAGGGGAGGAATAATAGTCTGTAGAGGGAGAAAACAAAACACTGAGGAAACCCACACAAATATGTGGAACTCCACCCAGAAACTCACCAAATTAAGAATAATGAGGGGATGGCATGAAATACAGTTAAGACAGGATTAAATTATGTATTCTAGGTGGGGCAGCCTGGATACACAGTATTGCCTCTACCTCTGCAGCAAGAGTAATTTTGAAAAGATAAAGTCACTGTGATGGATCAAATGCAGTCACAGTTGTTTCCTACTTGAATAAAAGAAGCAATTCTTCTCCTAACTTTTGTTTGACTCTGAATGCGTCTCTAGTGTCTGACACAAATTCTGCCACATCCCCTCTTATTGTAGGATTCGTAATTATGCAGCAGCGTGTCACGAGCAATCTTCAACACAAGTAGACATTTTCTTGCCACACCGGAGTCAAGCTTTACATGATGAGTCTTTTCAGCCGGAGAGACACAATGAGCGAAAGGCTCTTTGGCTCCAACGAGGTGAATAATGCAAAACAGTGAGAGACACAAGTGAGATAAAAGGCAATAATAGAATCAAGATGCTGTGCGGGATACGTTACGTCTTCAAAAGTGCCCAAGGAAAGCCAGTGAGTCATTCTGAAACCTGGATTGTTCTGATTAACTGATCAAATGTTACACTTTTTGGCCATTTCATTCAGTTCAGTCATTCTTAGATGCCATTTAATGAGCACATCATTTAGCAGCACAGTTAATATTATATGCCACCTGAGGCTGTGTCAAGTGTTTTCACTCCTACAACACGCATGGCATGACCCGCCTCATCAGTATTAATCACTGAAGTCAGCACACACACACACATACACACACACTTGCAGATAATCACTTTTATTTTTGCCATATTATTAAATTCAAAGCAAAAGACAGTTTGTACATTTACCTTCGACACAGGATTAGGGGAAATTAAATTCATGAAAAGATATTTTCATGCACATAAATTGTTTCTCATGTAATACTCATTTTAGTTCTCACCTGGATATCTGTAATTTATCAAACACACCACTCTGCTGACGGGTTTCAGCTGCGTGTTCCAGTTTAAAATTCTGAGACGAGAAAATCCTTCTTCACATTCACACCCTCCTAAGTGGAATTATTTACAACTGATTTTTAAACTCGATTCTGTTGAATGTGCAGAGTGTAGCAGATGTAATAATCACTAATGCAGTAATGCTTCTTTTTAAAGTTGGGTTCATGGTTAAATTATTTTATTTTGTGTTTTTTTGAACATTATTTAATTCTTTCTGGTCATGTTGTTTTCTGTGTATGATGTAAACACAACATATTCCTAAAAGAAGACCCCTTTTTGTTCTAAGAGTACAACTGATAGATTTTTTTTGTATTTTAGTTGTGTTTAGCTACCTGAACACACTAACCTGCTGGCTAGTTTGAGAGGCATGTTTTCCTCAGAAAACGTGCCATTTATTAGAGACACAAACAGAAAAAAAACAGAAAGAACTGTCAGATTTTCAACTTTATGATAGTTCACGAATAAATCATATGTGATATGAGGTTCCAGTAAAATTTCAGTAAAATTAATCACCTGTGAGCTTAAAATTGTGATATTTTGTCAAATATCTTGTGATATGTCAAATACACTCATCATATAATGTAATATTTTTGTTCTACATGCCTTTTTTAAATAACTGACCAAAATACAGTGCTTGCATCAACCAAATTCTGTAAAGATAAAAAAGAATAACATAACATAACATAATATAACGTAACCTAACATAACATAACATAACAAAACACTTTATTAATCCCAAACTTCATGTGCAAAATATTGATTACAAAATACATAATGACATAAGAAATGCATTGCCTAAAAAGCAGAAAAAGAATAAAATGTTAATACGATACATTGCTGACCTACAATAAGTAAGCAACAGTACAGAGTAATGGTGGCAATTCTACTGAGTTAATAAGTAATATCACACATGATGATGACATGTTGCACATGAAAATGAAATATTGCATCTTATATTGACAGTGTTGTACAGGGAAGTCAAATATTGCACATTTACTCAAAATGTTGCAAAATGAAAAATTACTTAATTAATACATGTAATATTCAGGTCATTTCCTTTATTTTAAACGAAAAATTAAAAACAAAAGTCGACATTTGATACACAAAATCAGAGTTTTAGTGTTCGAAAAGAGTTTGGAAAAAGAGTTGAACACTTATATATATATATACCAAAACCCCTATTGCACATTACAGTGACAATGTTGTGCATTAATGCGACATGTTGCATATAATGTACATGTTGATTCAATTTTTGATTTAAAAAAAGAGTAAAATAATGATGTAAAGGAATTCATTTTTCACTTTTTCTTGTTTTACGAGTTATGGCATTTTATGTGTCCTGCTGTATGAAAAAAAAAAAAGATTCTGAGATCTTTCTATGTTTAGCTGTGGGTGTGCTATTTCCATTGAAGTGCAGGATTTTTTCATTGCAGTGAAAAATGAGCCACAGATAGTAAAAATGTGACAGAAGTAAAAAAACAAACAAACAAAAAAAAAGAAATAGGAGGGAGGTGGAGGTTTAAATCTAATTTTGCAACCTCACTGTGATTACAATTCAAATTAAAATACTCATTTTATTCTATTTTATCTCATTTTATTTAATTTTAATTTTACAGTGCAGAGTACCCTCCAACAGACTTGTACACAAAGCACCAACGAAAACAAACGCTTGGCTCCAGCCGCCTCATCTGATTGGTCCGTAGATCTCCCCCGGAGCTCTCGTCCTTTCTCGCGATACTAGAGATTCTTCTCAGTGAGAGGCAGACGCTGAACTGTATTCAGTCGCTGTTGTGGCTGGGAGGCAGCACAGTCAGCCAGTGTCTTTGGTTGACCGTGATACAGCCCGAGGTGAAACGGGAGTCTTTTTTAAACTGACCCACTGAGCGAAAACAACAACTGCTGGCTTCCCCCGAACAAACTCCGGCTCCGCTCGACACCTTTTAACCAGGCAGGTAAGGTTGCTATCGTTTCGTCCTGTTGGCTGCCTCTGTCCAGACACTCAAATGCAGAGCTAGCTGATATTTTCTACAGTTGAGTTTCACATCAGCGAAGCAACATTTAAATCCCACCGGTGTCCGCTTCCCCCCGTGTCGCGCCTTAAGTTACACTCGTGAAACACTTTATCGTTAAGTCCAATGAAAAAAAGAGCAAAAAGAAAGAAAAAAAAAACACCCAGCTTGTCGGCTTGTGTGAACGGAACCAGAAAGGGGGGAATGCAGGAACTTCAAAGCTCAGTGTCGACTCTGTCCCTGGAATGCATATCCCTGTTAGCTTGCATGCTAACGATACATCTGCTTAGTATAAAGTGGCTGGCTCACTAGCTAGCTGGCTAGGTCGCCTACCAACCCTGCAAATTAATATATATGTTTTTTAATTCAATATTGTCCTGCTGGAGAGGCAGTGATGAGGTGGCTCCTCGTGGAAGCCATGTCAGGCTTTTTTTTTTTTTTCTGAATGAAACTGACAAACTTAACTTGAGACACCGGTTAGCTAACGTCCTGACACCTGTGTTTGTTGGGTTTTCGGCGCTTTAAAAGAAACCCTGCAACTGGACATCCATCGCTGCTACTCCTCTGTGTGTGTGTCTGTGTGAAGCATCGTGTCTCTTGTCTCATGTGCACTAACTTCTCCATCCTCAAAGATTTGCACCCCACCCACAAGCGCCACACATGTCTGCAGCTGTCCTGTTATTATAGACTGGAGCTAAACGGGCCACTTATGTGCAATTGTGCTTCTGGGAGTACAGTATAATCACACATGTAGGCAGCGACACTATCTTTACCTTTTTTTTAGTGGTCAGTTGTGCTTGAACCGTGTGTCCATGTCCCTCGCAGCCTAATCCCTCTCTGTTTTGGTGACTGCACAGCTGTTAACAGAGTGCATTGTTCAGGATCTTCCTAAGTTGGCGTCTGACTATTTTGAGGCGACTGTCAAGTCCACATCCTCCTAAATGTCTTTGTCTGAAGAAGAGACACAACTGCGTCCATGCTGTTGAATGCTTTTGTTCATGTGTGCTTATTATACTTTAAAAAGAAAAGAAGCAAACATGATATAAGAGATGGATTGATATTCACCGAACAAAAATGTAAATGCAGTATTCTTTTTAACACCGGAATAGGTATTTGTTGCAGAGTAGATGCAATGAAATGAAATGTCAACGGGCTGATCGAGAGCGGTGTCAAAGACTAGAATTCACAAGTCACCATTTGCATTGTGTCGTATCGCATCGAGTTAATGAGGTTGTTGATGCAGATTTTAAATGTTCTTCCCCTCTTCCTGAAGCTGGTATATATCTGGGGATGCATAATGACGTTGTTGGATGTCCACAGCGTCATGTGGCAGATTGTTTGTATACCATGATGCTTTCTTGGATGACAAATGGTGGAGTTGTGCACATCCAAGGTCCTGGCTACTGCCCTGACTGACATACCAGCATCCAGCATGTCCATTCTCGTCTTCCTCTTGTCATCTGTGACATCGTGTCATTTGAAGAAAGCTGTATTTTAAGGTCGCTTTTTATAGTCACTGGTCAAAGGAGTGTCTGCGTACTGGTCGCATTGTCTGATCATTGTCCTTTAAAACCACACCTAACTAGGGTGCACTTTAAGTCAGTGGTGGAGAATTTGTTGCCAGGTGAATGTTTAAAAAACCTTTTTGTGCACAGTTGGTTAGATTGAACCATTTTCAAACTGTAGCTATAGACATGAGATTTTAAACTTCTTCTCTCAGTTGAAGACTGTTTGCAAGCTGCTGTTCATTTTTATTCAGCGTATATTGATGGATTGATCGGTCAGGCCAGTGTATGAGTCGATAGGCGCTGATCGTTTCTGTCTTATTGCATAATAAACCCCCCTTTGTTTTATTTATTTTTTTAAAAATTATCTTCCATTATCAGTTTTGTTGTTTTTCTAACAGATTCCCACTAAAATAAATTCATCTAAAATTGCACTATTTTGCCTCTAATTCAGTCGCCTCTCTCTGTCTGTGGTCGGTCTCTGGTCTTGTGTAATATCCCGTCCACAGCAGTATCTGTTTTTTCATGCATCATGAGTCGTAGCCAATCAACACTGAAGGATAAATATTTAAAAGTTCTCTTTTAATTTAACATATTTCAAATTTAAATGAACACATTTCTATAATAAAGCTTGGTGTTGGAGTTTGTTATTCTACACTTTAACAGCAGTGTGTTTTACCCCTCCAAATGTATATCTGTTACCAGTCTCATTGATTACTACAGATCTGTATCGGCCCTTAATTAAGCATGTTGGTTGACCACTGCTTTTAATTGTAAAGAGTATGTCTTTGTCACAATTCTTCAGACACCAATTTTAAAATGTTTAATGTCATCAGCAGAAATTCTAAATATTGCCTTCAACTTTTCGGTTTAAGTCAGGCACTAGATGGTATATTTTTACCTATGTAAACAGACAATAAAATAAAATAATGTATAACAAAATAAAATTGACGACAGAAATGACAGGAGTTGAAAAGCACAAGTGGGTTCATTGTATTCATTGGCATCTAGTGTTGCTACTTACTGTGTTACTATGTAAAAAATGGTACAAAAAAGTTAAGCCATGTGATGATTTTAAAGAAATTGAAAAACAAAAATCATAAGTTTACAAAGCAAGAAGAAAACTGGACTGAAAAACGGCAGGAATATGAACGGAGACAGTGGATTGAGTTTGAAGTGGATGATAATCCGTGTACGGTGTCAGTGTCCGGCAGCGCAAGGAAAAAACACAACTGAGTAATAAACAGTTTGGCTTGAATGTTTCACAACAGCATCATAATTATATTTTTGAACCGAGGAAATTATTTGAGTATTTGTACACTCTCTCTTCTCAGAAGTGTGTTTTGTTTAGTGTTAATTCTCTTGGATGTGTGACAGTCGCAGTGATGAATGATGTGCACAGATGAGCCAAAACATTATGACCACAGCTGCCTGATATTCTCTTAATCTGCTGCATGCAACCAAACAGCTTTGACCCACCGAGGACTGCAAGACCTCTGAGGGGGCTTGTGGCATCTTGGTCTGATGCTAAGACGTTAGAGGCAGATCCTTTAAGTCCTGTAAGCTGTGACTCGTAGCCACAACAGATCAGAGTTGTTCCTGAACATCTCCCACCACCCAGTGTCCACTTCTTTAGTTCCAGTTGGGAGGTACTCTCCACTTCTTACTGGTAGAGCCCAACAAGTGTTGCTGTTTGAGATGTTCCAACCCAGCCATCTGGCCATGATAATTTGTCCCAAGTCGATTTTGTTCTTGTCTTTATCCCTACATCCAACATGCTGACTGCAAGTACCGACTGTCCATTTCATGTCTAGTGTGTCCTAAACCTTGGCTTTAGCAGGGTTTTAACTGGCTTACAATAGGTGGCTACGGACAAGCATGATTAGTCCACATACAGTAAAGAGTCCGTGTTACCTTATATGACAGAAAGCTGTGCATTTTAATATTATTTTTGACCTTTTAATAAACAAAAATGTCTATTATACATTAGTAAATGAAAATGCAATTACCAACATCTCAATTCTTATAATTTAGGCTGTTAGGATTTTCAATGGATGCTGGATAAAACTGTTTTAAGGGCAACAAAAGTATCTCTCTTCTGCATACAAAGCCCCAGCATATTCCACAGTTATAGGATAATGAACATTATTCACTTCGGCTGTGTGGTGGGCATAGTGTCTCAGCTAATCTTGCATATTCAGAGTTTGACACAGGACGACCTGCTTCAAATTCGTCTGCTGGAAGTGTAAAGTTGAACCAAAATCCGGAGTTTAAGGCTGCAGGCAGATTTTTATTTATTTTATTTTGTTTTTTAGATCAAAACTAGTTTGAAGCCAATTTACACAAATGTGTTGTGGAAACCTGAAACCTACATTGCTCGTAGGAGGAGGCGTACATGACATTTTAGGAATTTCTAACAAGGTAATTTAACTTTTTTGTAGCAGAAAAACTATGTCAGACACAAAATATTATTCAAAGCAGAGTGTTTTCCATATATTTAAATATGTCTGGAGGGTGTCTTTAATAATTTGGGAGATTTAAAAAAAGCCTTCTGTACCAGGAACCTAAAGGAGAAGTCCAGATACCTTCTACTGAAGCACATAAGATCAAAAAAGCTCAAAACACTCTATCGACTAGTCGTATTAAAAAAAAAGAAAGAAAACTGTAAAAACATAACCTATGGATTTAGTTGTTGCTATATTGGATTTTTAAATGATGAAGCTGCAAAAAGTTTAATAGAGTAAAATTTAGCGAAGCCAATTCAGCACAATTAAAAGAATGTCAACTAAAAGCACTGACAGCAAAAAACAAGAAATAATAAAGTTCACATAAACAGGGCAAAGTAATCTATTATAGACTATAAGACATAATAAAGACTAAAGTAAAACAAGTTAAAAAGAAGAACAACATACTGTGTACTATGCAGCACGTTTAACGATTCAAAAAACTACCCTGTCACTGTTTTTTAAACTCGTTTAAACCTTTTGCTGGAATTTGTTATTGCACTTTGTCTGACATATGCACCGATATCAGCCAATATATCTGCCCGGCTGATTTATGGCTCGAGCTCTTGTCTTATTGATCCAGCAAGCAATCATACTTAGTTAATCGATTCATTTGTGTGAAAATGAGGATTTTCTCAAAAGGAAATTAAAGTCCACTTATCTAAATGTAAATCGGGCCAGTGGCATGCGACCTGATTTACATTTAGATCACTGGACTTCAATATATTAACATGATAGGCGTCGGCTCTATACTGTGTGTTAGTCCCAAAAGCGACTCTTGCGGTAAAAGCAAGCTGAAAAGTTTTCTGGGAAGCACACAGTGGATTTTTTTTTCAATAGCTTTGCAGGGTTTATGCTTTACTGCTGGTCTTCACCTTGCACATATCTCTGACAATGTGAATTCCTCTGACAAGAGTCCTGAGCTCAACACGTG